ATCGAAACCGATGACGAGGCGCTCTCGGAGGCCTTGCAAGATGGTCAGTGAAGTTTTCACAGCCCTATAGTACCGGCAACAAAAAGATCAGGGTGAATCCCCGAGACCTGGCTCCGGAATGTTCTTGTGCGGACAACCGTATCGATTGAATTTCTTGGTTTTTCAGAGGCTAACGTCTGGGTGGGTAGCGTCATGATTTTCACATTAGTCAATGCCGCGCAGGAACATCTTCGGAGAGAGATGGAGGAGGAAAAGCTCAAGAAGCGCAAACTGCGTGAGGTGGAAGAAGAGGAATTGAAGAAAAAACTCGAAGGTACCCTATTTCAGTGGTTCCCAACCTTTTTCTTCGACGGAACCCCTAGGAGTTCCGCAGGTGGACTTTGGGGTTCCGCGCAATCCGCCACGAAACCCCAAAAGTTCCGCGGAACCCAGGTTGAGAAACACTGCCCTAGTTGACTCGCCATGGGTTCACCAATCTCGGTTTCCCATAAGAGCGGGGGACCTAGCGCTGACCCTCTATATCTCAATTCGCAGGCACGAAGGTGACAGTGGAATCATTCACGCAGTGGAAAGAGAAGTTCGACGAAGAAATGAATGCTCTGAACCCTAAAGAGGATCTGACCAAGGGGAAACTGACCGGCAAGCAGATGTTTCTCAGAGACAAAGCTCTGGCAGAGAGCGATCTCAAGTTCGACGGTGTGGATGACATTGATGTGGATGAAACTCTCTTCCAAGACGATGAGTTAGCGGAGCTCGAAGATGAATAAATTATTATCGTTTTCTATTGACTGTTCTCGCAGAGCCTCATCTTCAGGCCGATCGGTTTTGCTGATTTCGCGGGAACCGTAAATTACACCCCGTGTAAAAAGCTCATTGACTGCGCCATGTCATCGTTCATTTTGTCGCGGGATCGGGGGGATGTGATCTATGGGGGATTCGATTGGAATCGTGGGAGACTCCTAGAGAGAGCGGTCGCCTCCGCATGACGCACAAAAACATTTGGGAACTTACGAAGTTTCGGCCTACAGACTCTGCCGGGTCGCATGCGTACTCAAAGAGCGATCGACAGCCGCACTTGTTTTCTTTCCCGACCGACTCCGCTCGGAGTCAGCTCCGACTAGGGGTTCCAAATACCCGCCACTTTCGAGAACCGCGATTCTCGGGTACCCGAGAACCGTGGAGTCGGAACCGCGGGTAGAAACCGGAGAGAACCGAATTTTTCCTCCTCTGACTTGGGACTGATACCTGGCGAAACTGATCGAGAATTTTGAACCTACCCATTCTTCGGACCCAACGGACTCAGTCGAATTAATTTTATTCCATCAGAAAGGTGTATTTGCCGAGTTCAGTCTCCGTATTCGCGGTACGGTCCCCGTCGGCCAGCAGCGAGAGCAAGCCCGCTCATCTGTCGAGCGGCTACAGGGGAAGTGACCAGAACTGCCCCTCGCGATTCCGAATAAACTGACCCCCGAATATAGGTATGTAGGCGGCCTGATTATTCGGTCCAGAGGGTCTACCTAGCGAGATGTAATGTGGGGTTTTCAAAACCCGGGTCGACCTACAAATCCCGCGCTATCTCGTCTCAATCGCGAGGGTCAGTTCGAATACTTCCCTTGTTAGCGTGCATGAGAGAGACATTCAGCCATCGAAAACATCTCGGCCTGGATTTTTACTCATTCTGGAGCATGTCAATGGTGGTTTAGACGCCGGGAATGATTTGACTTGCCCCCTCGGAACCGCGGGTAAGAACCGAGAAAACCAGTCGGCTCCGGATCCGAGAGAATCGGCCGAAACCCGCGGTTCCAGAACCTCGGGTAGGAACCGCTGGAAGCCCTAGCTCCGACAACGCTGTGATGCTCGGACCTCGGCGACCAGAAAAATATCCTCGATCGGTCGGCCTCACGCTCCCCAACACAGGTTCTCGTCCTCAATGTCAGACGGTATTCTCTTTCATTATATCATGTCCTGATTGGGAAGCCCGTAATTGTAGGCGTCGCGGCAGTATTTCCCATCACCGAGATGTCAAAGGTTCCGAGGAATTATTGATGGAGATGCGGCATTGGCTGCACATCGCGATGGCGTACACGGAAAGGAGCTCCCAACCTGTGACGCCCCGTGGCCGAGGCTCGAGCCGGGACATCGAGGAAAAGCTTATGATCCTCAGAGCGATGAGCTTCGTTTTGAAGTCCACAGCTCGCATCCTTCCGGAAGGCAGGAATAAATTAGCACGGTAGCTCGTAGTCTCAAGGTCTGCAGTGAAATTCATTTGACGCCGGCGCACTACCCAGGCTGACATCGCGGTTACTGATCGTCGAGCAGCGTGGACTCCTGGCTCTGCGGATCTTAATATCAATTTCAAATTCGAGCGCCCCATCAACCTCTCTTCGAGGCCGCCGCTCGTAGGCGCCGGTGCTGCTCCGAGGGAGAGGGTCGATGTTTACAGGCGCACGTGGTTGGGAATCCATTGTCGTCGGGCTTCACCCGGTTTCTTTCAGCGCGGAGTTCCGGTCCTGTATAGGAGTTTGTCCGTGATGTAGTGAGTCGTGGATATCTGTCTTGAGGGTTAAAACGGCAAGGAATCAGCGATGAGTAAAAACAAAACACGGAAGTTGACCGAGAGCTCAGTCGACAAGTGTGTTAGACTTTTTCTGGAAGATCGAGCCGACACTAAGAGTGCCGAGACAGTGGTGAAGGCCCTCGCGTGCGCGAAGGATGAAGATGGAGCGGTTGCGGCGATTATCGCTGTCAATAAGGTAATCCCCTAAGGCTACCATACCATGATTCTCTCGTCCAGGAAGTTACCGTCCCGAAGCTGTGGAACCTACCCATTGAACTATTTTCCCGGTAAATTCCTCTTATTTGAGACTCCGTTCCTACTCGTGCATTCCCATTCGACAGATTTTCAGTCGGGTATTCTCAGAAGACGAGAAGTTCTTCAAAGATGATGAGCATCCGCTTGCCGGAGTCTTCTCCGCATCCTGGAGCAGTCTCCTCGCGATCCTGCCCGAAGGCAACAAGGCGTCAGATCTGGCTCTTCAAACTCTGCTGATGTGGATCGAGTGTGAGACTGTCAAGAAGTCCACTGAAACCTCGTACGGGCTGCCTGAGACTCGACTCGAAGAGCTGCTCAGGGTTCTCTGCAGCGATTCCGCGATGGAAAAACACTTGGTCCAATTTCAAAACAAACTGGAGGCCTACGATGACCTCAACTTCTACACCTGTAAAGCCCTCTGGAAAATCAGCGACAAGTTCTCTAAGCCGACGACAGAGCTCGAGATCCAAAATTACTTCACGCTGATCAAGGCGATCCGAGTCAAAGACAAGATCACGAAGGATCAAACTCTCCCCACTTTCGTTGGCGAAGAGATCGATTTCCCGTTCAATTTCCAAGACTTACGTAAATTCTATCAGTACGCATGGGTGAACTTCCTACGAGCCGCCCTACCCGAAAAGCTGTACATCCATGTTCTGGTATTCCTCGACGAAAAGAAAGTTGCCCTCTTCAAAAATCCCTGCTTGATGGCAGATTTCCTCATCGAGAGCTACAACAAAGGAGGTTCTATAGCCCTTCTGGCTTTGAACGGTCTGTTCACACTGATCCACAAGTACAATCTTGAACTGCCCGACTTCTACACGAGACTGTACGCCCTCTTCAAAGCAGACATATTCTACCAGAAATATCGCGCCCGCTTCTTCTTCCTTGCGGATCTTTTCCTCTCGTCGAGTCATCTCCCTGCGTATCTGGTGGCGGCGTTTGCGAAAAAAATGGCGCGACTCTGTCTCATCGCTCCTGCATATTCTCAGCTGCATGTGATACCCTTCATCGGTGAGATATTCAATGTGCTGCCCCCTAGAACAAGAGAGAGAATTTCTCGGAGTTTATGTCGCTCCTTTGGAGTCTCCGGACGCGGCGAACTGTCACGAACCGCGATAATGCGATTTTCCCGGAATCTTGTTCCAAGCAACGAATTGATTGACATCTAATGTTCTTCATAGGAAACTTGGTTATCCGACACGCGGCGCTATCCCGGATGGTCCACTGTCAGGAGACGAAGGATATGAACTCAGACCCTTTCGACGAAAACGAGACAGATCCGGCGAAGTCGAGAGCCCTCGAGAGCTCGCTGTGGGAGTTGAAGACTTTGCAGAGTCATTGGCTCCAGAGCGTGGCCGCGAAATCCTCCATTATAAACTCAGCATTTCCGAAGTAAGTGCTCCATTGCTGAGGATGGATGTTCGCGGGAAACCGAGAGAGCGGATTAGCATCAAGAAGCCGCAGCCATTCGTCAGAAATGGGTGATCAGCCTGTTAAGCCTGATAATCCTGGCTCACGGTAGTCTTTTCCTCCAGGATCGAATGGGACTTTTCGGACGTCCTCGAAGGATCGTACGTTCAGCTGTTTGAAAAGGCCGTCAAGGACAAGTACAGAGGATCTATACCCACGACGAATTACCACAAACCTAAGGGTCTTCTCAAACACGCCGACGACAAACTGAAGTCGAGTTGGATTCTCGAATAAATGAAAGAGGTCCCGCGTCAACAATGATGGGCATGCCCATGGTCTCTTATTCCTTCGTGCCCCCCACAAGTCCTCGTGATTCGGAAGGCTCTCTGCTGAGACCCCGAGTCAGTGAAGGAGGCTCAGGCCGGCTGGTATCAATTTGAGAATGTTGCTGTCGTGGAACGAGGAAGTCCGAGCAAAACCACTACGATTCCTGGTCTTTTGAAAATACTTCCATTTAATATCCGTTTCGATCTCTGTATATATATCACTCGGTTGAATACCTAGTAAGGCACTTAATGTTTAAGACGTCTCCTAGTCAATACATGGCAACAACTTCCTTTTCGTAAAAAGATTTCCTGCGGTTGAAGGGGGGCACTCGCACTCGTTTTCGTTCTTCTCCATCTTCAAAGTGAACGTGAGCCATAAATTGTACAAGCCAATCACTCGTTGGGACGAGTCAAACATTACAAAATTCATTGGCAAGGATATATGTGTGTCTGGTCATATCGATAAGCTTCTTTCAAGCCCGGCCCTTAGTAGCTGACCTCCCAAGAGATCTGGAAAGAATATCAGCCTCATTAGAGGATCGTATATCATCGTATCGTCATATCTCCTCATCATCGGGATACGACAATTTCGGACAGTTTCGACTGCCCAATGAGAACTTGAAACCTCACGCTCAGACTCACCGAACTCTTGCTCTTTCTTGAGCTGTGAAACCCCCTTTCTGGATCAGCACTGAGAGAAACTTCACCCAATCGCCCTGAATCCGGTCGTTTTCTGCTAAACAGAGCAGATCTCGGGCAGGATCCTTCGAAGGCAGCCATTTGACCTAAGGATTGACAAAGTACTTGTTTATCACTCTGTCAGCTCTCCACGACTATGTCGAGCCAGTGACTGCTCGTGCCGCGTGAAAGATCGCCTCGTACCTTGCATGGAGCTAAGCTATTATCTTCTTTGTCCTTATCGACGTGCTCCTTGTGGATTTTCACCCGACACAAGCGGCACTCCAATGCAGGAAGATGCCGCATCATGGACCACAATTGTTTCTGACAGATGTCACACGACGTGGGCATGTAGAAAGTTATAGGGACCATCTGGTGGTTTTTATACTCCGTGACTGAGAGAGCCAGCTGCAAGAAGAAAACCTTCAGTATCAAGCTGTCGACGGGACGGAACTGAACCTAAACTTGTCTCTCTGATCGATAGATACACTAGCGAGCATAAAGAAGGAATATTTCTCACTTCTGCTTCTTTGCGCTGCTCTCTTTCATCGGCATAAAGTACTTGGAAGATTTTGGGTATGTCGTCGGAATTGGCACGAATGACGTCTCCCTGTGTCACGGACCGCACATGAAAGAGTCTGCTAATTTCCAAAGATAATATAGGCTCCACGTTTCCGTAATCATGCTCTTGGTTGAAAAACATGATTTTCTGACTTGTGGCAACGACCCATTGCCTCTTCCAGCCGTATCGCTTGATGTTTTGTCGGATAGGCACCGAGAGCCAACCGTCTTTTCGAGCTGAAAGATATCAATGGATCGTAGCGCCCGGGAGCTTTCATTCAATATGTACACAGATTGAACGCGCATTGCGGATCCCGAGCGAAAACTTGCCATCGCTCAAATCCTCGTCGAGAATGTCCGTCAGGCTGCTGAGACTCCCCGGATTCTGCAAGCCTGATTTGATTTCCAGTTGAGCTCTGAGCGCTTCGAGCTCTCTGTCTTTCTGATCGAGGAGCTCCTGCATGCTAGTCCGAGTCTTCTCCTCTTCGGTCTTGGCGACATCGAGCTCATACCGTGCTTTTTCCAAGTCCGCGTTCTGTAGAGACACAAAATTGAATGATCAGAATCGAGCATCCTGTGGGAAAATGTTCCGGACCGAGCTCGGAGAGAGAGAGCTCTGCGCCGCCATGGGAGGTATAGCTCATTTATCAACAGACCAGAGTGCGGTGTCGGAGTTTCAAATTCGAAAGATCCTGTTCGAGTTGACGGCATTGCTTCTCCTTCTTTTTGTATTCAGCGGTTCTGTTGACCCCGGCTTTCGTGGGTGCGGAGGCCGCCGTGACCGAGGACTTCCTGTTCATCACCTCAGCCAGTTTATTCACAGCTTGCTGGGTGAGAACTTTTTCTTTCGCCAGTTTCTGATTCAATATCTCGATCTGACTCTCGAAATCGGCGTCGTCATTGTTATTGATGTTTTTACTGTTGTTATTGTTGTTGACGTTCTGATTCGAAGCCTCATTGACTTTGTCACGCAGTTCTCCGCATTCACTCAGAGTTTTCTCAAGCTTCTCTTTGCTCTCGTTCAGCTGCCTGAGGAGACTCTCTTTCTCCGCCTGCATTTTGCATTTCTCTATCTCCAGATCGAGTTTGTCTTTCTCCAGAACGGATCGTTCCTCATGGCTCCGTGTCTTTTCGCGCTCCAGGGTTTCGATCTGTTTCTTGAACTTTTCCTCTTCCCGATCCTTCTCTTCTACGAGTTCTTGAAGAGCTTTAGTTTTGCCCTCGAGCTCTTCTTGGAGGTCCTCGCACTCTTTCTTGTAGATAACCTGCGAAACAGACCGAATTTAGCATAAACGTCGAGTCGAATCTACTTCCAGGAAATCAATGATGCCCGTGTGCTCTCAAAACTCTTCATCCGTTATGCTGAAGCTTAGGAGCGGATCGTCATTTTGGACCCCCGACCCCCCCTTCCCCAAGAGCAGGATTCGGGTCGAGCCTCCCCTGAGCGAGATCGAACTGGCTCCCCCTCTTCCATAGAAATCAAGTTCCACCCTGACGTTCTGAGACTTACGCGGAAGCTGCTCTCGGTTTCAAGATTTTCGTTGAGATCCGCCACCTGCATAGTGAGAGTGTCGCGCGTTGCTTTTAAGGTAGAAAGTTCCTGTTGGAAATGAGTAACGGCTCCCTCGAGTTCGCGCTTCTCGATCTGGAGTTGACTTTCGAGCCGGACCAGTCGAGACACTTCGATCTCGAGGTGATTGATTTCGGTTTGTAGGTGACCCCTCCGAAGTCTCTCCTCTTCCACATCTCTTGTCAACTGCTGAATCTGAAAAACATTAGAACTCGAAGATCAGATCGGAGAACTAGAAAGACCGCGGGATAGAATGTCATAGAGCGAAGCACTGGACTCATTTTCGTAGGGTGACTCTCACTCTCTCTGTTTGAGCGGTGTGGTCAGCTTGCTGTTTCGAGAGCTGCTGTTGCATCTGTTTGTGGTCGACTTGTAGAACTGAGACGTGTTTCTCGGTTTCTTGTAATCGCTGAATAACTTTTTGTTTCTCATCGACCTCGTCCTGCAGCTTGTCCCTGATTGCCTGGACAGCGGTGGCTTCCTCGCTCGAGTTCATGAGTTGTTTGTTCTCATCAGTTAGGGAGGCCATTTCTCTCCGCAGAGAAGATGCTTCGGCCTCATACCTGGGAAAAAATAAAATTGCGAGGCGATATCATGGGAGTGAACAATTTCCACGGATCCGATGGGACACTTGACGGATACCGTATGCTCTCTACATACCTGCCGAGAGCGTTCTTCAACTCGAGTTCAAGAACGGCCTCCTGTTTTTCCTTGGAAGCGAGTTTCTCCTCGAGACCCTTGATCTCCTGACTCCTTTCACTATATCCTCGGCGCAAACGCTCCATTTCCTCCGTCAACTCCGTATATCGATCTTGATGAAAAGTTCGGAATATTAGTATTCTCCACGGAAAGGATGTACGAATGAGGAGCTGTGAGGCTCGAACCCCTCGATCCGCAGCGTCAAACTTGACTCACTTTGTATTTCCTGTGCGCGTTCGGTAGCTTTCACGGTGAGCTGTCTTTCCTGATCCAATTGCAGATTGAGATTGGCCATATCCCTCTCCTGGGTTCCGCACCTATTGTATAGCTGACTGAGTTTCTCTTTCAGATCGCGAACTGTCGTGTCGAATACTGTGACGTTCTTCGTCAGTTCCGAGTTCTTCTTCTTGAGTTTGACAGCCAACTCGGTCTCCAATGCCTGGGAACAGAGCGTTGTCTCCACTGAATGCGCAACAGATTTTTCCGCGAGGTATGCACAAGGAAAATTCCCCCTAGATCCGCAAGGAGCTCAGAGTCTCCGAGCAGCGGACTATCAACTGACCAGTTTATCCTTCGCGTCCTTGAGCTGGCGCTCGTAGAAGGCTAGTCGTTCGTTCAGGTGATGAGAGCTCTGAGCGAGCTGAACCTTCGACATCTGTTCCTGCTCGAGGCGCGTGATGAGGTCCATCACCTTATTCTCGGCTCTGGTCCGAAGCTCGATCTCCACATCGAGTTTGCGCTGCTGCTCCATGAGCTCGCCCCGAGTCGTCGAAATCAGGCGGGTCAGCTCCTGGTTCTCATTGAGGAGCTGTCCGACCTTCTCCCGACCTTCGCTCGAAATCCTGTAGGGCATGCGCGGAAAGATTATATCGAGAAACTGACAGGAAGCCCTCGAATTCCCACATCCGATCTAAGGAAGAATGGTGGACTGCTCACCTGCTTTGTACAATGTCGGGGTTATGAGCTGCTCCTTTTTCCTCGAGCATCGGCTTGAAAAGGGGATTGTCCCTCGTGTACGTGAATCCAGCGAAGCAAAGATGATTCGCCTCGAACTCACTCGACGGCTCGAAAGAACCTTGTTCGTGCTTGTTGTCATCGTCGGGCGTGCAAAAATAGGACGAGTCGTCGTCCGACCGCAGTTCGGGCACCACCGGAGCGGGGGTCTCCCTACAAGCAGAGAGTTTACCACCGAGTCTCTTAATCGAGTCACACCGGAGAGCGTCCGACTCCGATGCCGAGATTCGCAAGCTCGTCCGGCAAATGACAATTCATCTCTGGTCCGCCATTTTGAATGGTCCATGAAAATCTCCAAACCTACCTGATGTTATCAAAAGTCCACACATCGTTGATGAAAAATGGGTGAGCTTTGATTTCCTCGTTCCCGTTCTTACCAAGCCGCACTGAGCAGTCGCAGAGAAACGAACAGATCAAACTTTTCGCAGCTTCGCTCAGTGTCACCTCATCGGGATCGGGGAACGCTAATGAATTTTGATGGTTCATGATGTTTGCATAGGTGAACGACAATGACTCGTGGTAGAATGGTGTGACCCCTGGAAACAGAGGGATATAGAAAAATTCTGTCAGGCCTGGATCTACGAATCCAGCACGTATGCATGAATATGAGTCGAGGTGACCATTCCGAAGAAATTCGAATGAATTTCTTACCGCAAAGCATTTCGTACAAGCAGATTCCGATCGACCAATAGTCACACTCTCGGCCGTACTTCCCGAACCCCTTGCCCTGCTCCTGGGCCCGCAATACCTCTGGGGATATGTAATCGGGAGTTCCCACGGGTACATCGCACCGGACAAGTCCATCTGCTCCCATCCGGGTACAGGTGCCGAAATCCGCCAATTTCAGATGTCCGGATGAATCCAAGAGCATGTTGTCCGGCTTGACATCTCTGAATCATGGGTCATTCGCGCATTAGATGGGCACTAAATATGTGCCGATCGGCGGGTATAATCGCCAACATGCGCCGCCACGGAACGTACCTGTGCACGAATCCCATCTTGTGGATTATGTCGACAGCTAAGATCATCTCCGCACAATAGAAGCGAACCCATTGCACGGTGAAGTCGTAACCGTCCATCAGCGTCGCGAGGTCTCCTCCAGCCATGTAGTCCATGACCATGTAGAGGTACCTGGAACCGGCAGCATGCAATCAGCGTGGCAAAGCTCGGAATCAAATTGAATCGAATGATGGATGAAATGTCGGTGCCGCGGAATCATCATGAAACTGACTTGACGTCCTGGAATGCGTAGTATAGCTTCACGATCCACTCCGAATTGGCGTTGACTAAGATGTAGCGTTCTTCCCAGAAGCATGTCGGTTCACTTCTCTTCACCATCTCTTGTTTATTGAGCATCTTCATCGCGTAAATCTTCCTTGTCGGTAGGTGGCGTACCAGCTGCACCATGCCAAAAGCTCCTAGAGTTTGAGGATGGAATTAATTCTCCCCGACGATATCCGACCCGGCGGCGAATCCCGCGGCCGGGGCATTCCCCCCGTCACTCAGGAAGTCAGTTCCGGTTGAGGGAAAAGCTGGAAGCGACGCTAAGCATCGCACGGGTCGCGCTGATAAGCGGAGGAGGAACAGCTTCGCTTCCATCTCTGAAGGATCTACCTCCATAAGCCACAACCTTGGCATCGATGCGGACATAGATAGAAGCCGTTGCGAGCTCGTTTTAGATTCCAGAGCAGTGCGATGTGACGAGACGACCTTCGCATTGTTCACATGCCTCGCCGCCAGACATTGTCACGGCGGCATTGTAGGATCGTGGGCTTCCTCGGAGCGCTTGAAATTACTATCTAGCTATCCGGAGGGAAGACTGCAAGCGATTCAACAGTTCTGATACAATCTCCGTGGGGGTCGGAGCCGAGTTATCGGAGCAGTGGCTCGCTCCGACGAACTCACCTTTGCCGATGGTTTTCAGGACATCGAAATCTTTGTCGTTCGTCCGCCATTTCGTGATCTCCCGACTCTTGCTATGGTACCGGTCGAGGAAACTTTCGATATTCTTAACCCGTCTCAGAGCCGGACCATCACAGTCCACCACGACCGCTTGCAGGACGTCCTGAAAGGATGAGGATTCGACGAGTGATCTCTCAGCTCGGGTATTTCCGCGGAGAGCTTCGGAGCTCTATGGCATCGTCGAGAATGGACAGGAAGGACGGGGAGGAAATGCACAGGTATGAAAGTCTCTAGAAAAAGGGGGCGACGCTCTTCTCGTAACGGACAACCCTTGAATACTAGAGCCACTCCCCGGTTTTTCCTTTCTTCATCTTTTTACTTCAGCGCATCGCTCTGAACATCGTTGATATGGGGTCTAAGCCATTCGGTGCCTTCTAAGAACGCGCGCTGGGGAAGTCTGAGTCGTCATGGCAGCCTTTCTACGTAAAAGTGACGTCACCCGCTTCTTCGGTTCCTCATGGATAAGTCCGCAGACATCGGAGACTTTGCCGACGCGTTCCCGGGGATCGAGCGCTTCACATTGCAAAGCGAATCGCTTCTTCACGATTTCATTATCAGGGCACCGGGATCCCCGAGAGATCACAATTTTTTACAACCCGTCGAGCCTGACACCCCATTCCGCGAGTTCTGACGGAAGCTACGCTCATCATCGTACAAAACAAGGTAGCGAGAGAGAGGAGGATTCCCCCGTGAAGTAGAGCCATTCCGGTAAAATCACTGTCTGGCTTCACCAGAGTCACCACGATTCTGCCGTCCACGAAAATAATGGCATTTCAGCGTTGCGGAACAATTGTCGATATCCATCAATTAATCGACGGCTTCAGCTCGACGGAAGGGCGCAACTCAAAAGCGACCGAGCCTCTTTGGGGTCCGGTGAGACCTTCTGTGACCTAATCGACTTGCCCGAGCAGTGCATCGAGTCAATGACATCGGGCTCTACTGATTCGCTGATTTATGCATGGGTTTCTGAAGGCGAATCCCCCCCACCGACGCGAAGTTGAGAAACCTCGGGCTCTGTGAAGGACGTCAGGAGTCCGTTTTCAGGCGTCTGGACCTCCTCACGGCAGTGAGCGTGATCGGCGACAACAATGGCCTGATCACGCTACGGCTGGACGTCTCGATTGTATTATATTCTACGTGTATCAGGAAAGGAATCAGCGAGGGAGATGGAACGGTGCGATTCGCGAAAGCCGACCGCGAGGTAGAACCTCCCAGAGCTCGTGTTCCTGACGAGCCGAATCATTCGGCGGAGCGTACGCTCCGGGGAATGAGTTTTCAACCCTCCATTTCCCCATGCGATCCAAAGCTTCTCGATCTTGAAAGTCTGAAGTCTCTACTCGGATATTTTTCCGAGTCCTCCGATCTGCGTGAGAGAAACTCGCTGTTTCTACATGCATTCATCTTTTCGGAGAGAGCCGAGCCGGGATACGACCGCATTTCCTCCGAATGGTACACTCCCCCGTGGACGGGATAGGCTTTTTCTTGGAGCAACACTTCATCCCGAGAGCGTGTCGCCAAACAGTTCAGCTCGTGTCGATGTAGCCTAAGACGGCGAACTTCATCGGGCCATCAGAGATAAAGGATTATATCGACGTTATTTACGATTTGTTTTTATTTGCTTAGCCTTGCTTACCAGAAGTGCATCGATGTTAATCTCCGAGCCGGCATCTCGAAGAGCGTCTTCCAGAGCCTTCGATCGTGGATTCCGTTCGTTTTCGACAGCCATGATGAGCACGAGCTGCAGGCAGCTCTCTCCGACAGCTTAGACCTGGAAGACAAGGGATGATTTCTGTGAGGAAAAAAAAGTCTCATCGCAATGAAGAGCGCTGCATTGGATCGACCGGCAGTGAGTCACGTGGCTGGAATGACTCGCTATATACTCTCGCGGGTAACCCCTCCGAAGCTACAAGTGTTGGTGAAGCCTCCTGCTGCATCTGAAAATTCCCACCGACTATGTCGCTCATCGTTATCGTGTTCAAGAATCGATCTCTTTGGCCGCGTCGGCTCCGGCAGGTTTCGTTTGTGAGCCACAGATTATTCTTGGTTCTCCCAATATAAACAATTCATTCGCAGTCAATGACTAGCGTACATGAATTTTCAGCTCACAATAGACTGGAGACCGGAGCCGAGACCGTCATTCGCCGATGGCACTCGTCGCCTTACCCTGATAGGGCAGTATCGCGTCTGAAGAGCACAGAACGCAAGTAGAAGAATTCCTTCCATCCTGTATAGAAAATCGGTCATTTAAAATCCCAGATCGGTCTCGGGGCTCTGCTGCAATCGTGGGGATGCTCGATCGCCCCCTCCTCCCTCCGGCGCATCATCACGCTTTCCTGATCTCATGTAAGGAATTTCCACCGGAGAGACGGATCCAAGATCTCCATAGATATGTCTGATTCCGAGCGGACCCCAGATCGAGCCAGCTAATGATGAGTCAACGCCAGAGGAGCCAACCGAATGCGAACCTCATAACCGTGGAAGAGCCCAGCTCGTCGCGTTCCTCCTGAATTTCCGAGTGGAAATAACAGTTGCCTATTGCATACATTTGGTGAAATCATCCCAATCTTACTCGAGAACACCCGTGACCCAGGGAGAACGATTCCTATAATCACATTCGAATCGGAGTCCAATATTAGGGGCCTTGTTCCGTCGCGCATACTCGGGGCACGCGACGGATGGTCACATCCCCATCCCGAGAATCGGAGTGAAACCTGGGGACTTTTCTACGAACCAGATGCGCGTGGGAGAAAGAAATCTCGAACGTCGCTCCTGTCGGCGCTGTATGGAGTGACGCGGGAGGATGATTCATGTGCTGGCATACTCTTTCAGTAGGGAGCACGAGATGGACCGCAACGGTATCTGATTTTGTTTACCGCAGCGAGAATATCCTCTCTTCAGAGAACATCGTTCCCGCTAGATGTCCGGATCCGCCATCACCCTCCGCGGCAAGTTTCGGGGCTGTGATTCTCAATCGACTCCGGTGACTGGGGGGTCTTGACTTTATCTTCTAAGAATTCAGCACAGGGAAATCGAGCATTCGGTCGGCTTCGAACGCTCATCACTTCATCATGCATTGGTCAATTGTGTCTTTGTTAGAGAAAAGAAGACACCAAGGAAGAGAAAAGATCTGTTGACCCCGCCAAGAAAAGATTCTGGGATTGAGGGAAAAAGAATCACTTGACGACCGCCGGTGACGACAACGGCAACAACAACGACAGAAGCACCGCAGAAACTCCGCTTGTGCGGCAGCACCGACTTCAGCCGCTCGGAGACAAGTCCTACGATCGTGTGAGCCGACAACGGCGCCTAGCCGAGCACCGAGCGATTTGTGGGCAGCGGAGCAAGTCTCCCATTCGCGAAGGACTCCATATCGAATATCAGTTCTTTTCGGTGTCAGTAGCCTCATCCCCGCTGCACTCCTGGCTCGACAGTATCGACTAATAAGACCGCAGATGGAGCATTCGGCAAGCAACAGACACCCATCGACCACGACAGCCACTACAGCAGCAACAACCCCAAAAGACTAGCGGTGACAGCGATGTGCGACTACGGTAATGGCATAGGGAGGGTCAATAGGAACGGGACTTGATGGCTGATAGAATACCGAATACATCGGTCTCCGGATCATGAGAGCGGAAAGCAGACAATGGAACGGAGACGGAGCCTTATTATTCATCCCCATTTCGAAGCGTTTTCGTCCCGGGTTGACACATCGATCCGTATCTTATGATGGTCCTGAAGAGCAATGTTCGGCAGTCACCGCTCGTCTAATGATCACACGCCGATTCCATACGAATGATGATGCGCCCATGCGTCAGCATCTATAGGAGTTCGCTCTTGCAGGGGTCTGAACTCGGAGTTGCGAGCAATCGTGCGGGTATATCTACGATACTGATACTCATTCGGATTTCAATTCGAATCATCAAATACTAATCAACATTTCACTCCTGCAAGAAGCTCAAATGGGACAGCGAGCTCTGCATCCTCTCGCTTTGAACTATATGGTTCTAATCTCGCCGTCGTTCGACCAGATGAGCTTGGCCGCCATGAAAAACTTGCGGTTTTGTCGCAGAGGCTCTCGGGCTTTCGGAATATTCGGTGACGTTCTAGAGGCGGAATACTCTACGGAGCTGCCCCCAGCTCTAATTTGACATATCCCCCGTCGGTACGGGGGCTTCGAAAATTTCGATTGAACTTCGAGAGCAACAGTTGCCCTCTCAGGGGAAAAACACGGTGGAAGCCATAAGCTCGGAATCCTGTCACCAGAGACCGTGAGTTTGATCTGCGTGTCCGCCAAAGCGATGACGGTCGATCTCCGACAGAAAATCTTTCGTGAAAAAGTTTGACAGAATTAATTTTCTGCGAGCACTCACTGTCTACGGAAGGGGTCGCATCATGGAGAGTAGAGCCAAGTGTTGCGAGCGACAGTCTCGTCTGATTCGTTCCGAGACAACATTCATCCACTGGTGAACTTCACAGCCTCGGAAGCATAGCTCCTTGGAGAATTTTCCCACACGCACTGAACTTTTGCGAGCGTTGTCTCGAGTCACTGTCGTTTTCTCGGGAAGTTCACCGGCTTGATCCGTCCACCGTCACAATAGATACTCGCCGCCGGATGCAACAACGCAGCCCGAAAAAATTAAAAACACAGGCGAATAAATGAAACCGTCAGTGTCGATAAAACTCTGTGAACTCGGCGGGATAGAACTCTGCAAAAATGAAATCGGTGGACGGGAGAATGAAGACAATGTTGTCGATGATCTTTGCTGGGAGCTCAAGTGGAACCGGGCGCTCCGTTTTGTACATGCCCGTCTCGTACTTACCTGCCGCAGCATGGTTAGCATGGGACGCTCCTATGTAGTGGGTCAATCGCTCAGAAGGAGCCCCTCCGTGGGAAACGTTCTCTCCTTCTAGATAAGCTCCTCAGGGAATACGAGGATGGATCCTCCGATACGCTATTTCGCGCTTGATCCTCGTCCCCGTGCCGATAGCGACATCTGTGTGAAGGTCCGTGTATCCTTTCAACTCGGGACCGTCCGTGGGAATCGTCGGTCTCGTTTGGAACAATCTTAGCCCTTCCACGCTGAGCGTCCGAGCGCCGGATCCCCTGACGGCAAGAGGGCTGTCTCGGCGGACTAGATCATCGGTCATGCTTAGCACGCGCGATGAGTGGTCATTCCTCGTCTCTCGTAGGTCGGATAATCATTCGTTACCATCTCCCAGGATGGGTCGCATCCCAGTCAGGGAGCAGTCATACGGATATAACATGATATTGCGAATAACATTGCTGCGGAAATCACTATTTCCTCGGTTACAGGAGCGGGAATCCCCGTGCCCATCACCTACGACCTACGATGTGGGACAGCTCTCCCCCCATATCGGTTCTCGGAATTCTAAGCGATGCCTTGAAGAGCTCCACTCCGGTGATCGAGAGTGTTGTATCAATACCGTTGAATCTAGCATTCGACGAGGGACATCGTCAAATCTGCATATGAATTCGGACAATTCAGCGTTTACGATGCGTGTTCTCGCGTCGATTACATTTTTTTCTCAGACAGAGAATATAATCGAACCTTTTTGCTTAGAAGCGATCTCATTGGCGTCGGATTGGGATCTCAGGTTTCGAAGAAAAAGCACTCAAAATGTATTCGCGGCCCGCCTTCCGTTCTATCGTACGAAGCCGCTTTTCGAGCCGGCCGGTGTAAAGCTTCCCCGCAGCGAAGCTTCTACACTGAGCGGCGAAACAGTTTGTTTTGTGTGATCCTCTCGCGTGGACCTTGGCTCTCCGGCGGAGAATCAGGAGCTGCGATTTATTTGCGGATCGCTTGAATATCAACAATCTCTCGCCACGACAGCCATGGAAAGGCAGGGATTCAGCAATTTCCAGCGAGGTGGAAGACGAAATGGTTTCAATAATCACCCCAACAATAGGAATCCGCATCACGGTACGTCATTGAAGTCTCAGCTACGCTCTCCTACTTTCCGTCACCTCGATAGCTAAGCGTTCGAGCGATGACGTTGCTAATCGGTCGGAAGATCAATATCTCTGGGAATTCTCGCTTCTCCCGAGATGCATGCCCATGAACCGAGCTCCGATCTAGCACGTGCTAGCGACGCCCGGCGAAATTCGTGTTTTGTCTGGGAAGACACCAGCGGAATGGCTGGCAGCGCTCTAAGAGGCAAACCTGTTTTCATACCGCTCCACTTTTCGATCAGCGTCCCTTTAGATGGACGAGGAACATGTATATCATCTCGTTGGGAGCACTGTCACATAGCAAGTGTAGGGAAATATATTTTACGGCATTGAGAAACTGAGTACAAACGCTCGGAGAGTATCGAACTGACTGAGCGCCATATGCTCAGAGCCACGTTTCTGTGGGGAAATCGCTCTCAGTTGTCGATGTCGACGATCGGAGAGGCTTCTCAATAGTCTTCACATGGATCGAGAATCGATCAGATTCTGCTCGGAGCGAGACAGCCCTCCGTCCCGAGGGAGGCCTCACTCCCGGTAGAACGGGTGATCGGCTTCCCGTGGAGAGCAACTCGTGATTGCAATCGCCTTCCCCTTCAGATACGGCTGTAGTATTCCTAGAGATGTCTCCTAATCGACGTGGCACGCTCGGGGACCTGCCATTTCCAAGAAAGCGGCCCGAGCCCGTATCTCTTCACGGTGGAGTCACGCACTCGAAGAGTTCTACTGTGCGCCATTCGATCCAACTCTTCCACTTGTCCGGGCTTCTGACCTGGAG